GGCTGAGGGGAGACCTGATTGCTCTCTGCAATTGCCTGAGAGGAGGCTGTAGCCAGGTGAGGGTCAGTCTGTTCTCCCAAGTGACAAGTGATAGGACAAGAGGAAATTGCCTCAAGTTCCACCAGGGGAGGTTTAGACTGGACATTACGAAAAATTTCTTCACTGAAAGGGCTGTCAAGCACTGGAACAAGCTGCCCAGGGAAGTGGTGGAGGCACCATCCCTGGAGATATTTAAAAGTCATGTAGATGTGGTGCTCAGGGACATGGTTTAGTGGTGGGCTTGGCAGTGCTTGGTTAATGGTCGGACTCGATGACCTTAAAGGTCTTTTCCAAACTATCTATACTCTTGATTCCTTCAAATACAGTCTGTTTACCTCTTTCAGATTAGCTGCATGTAAGGTACAACATGCCTGTATTTTAACGCTGAACTGACCTTACCTTAGATTTATTAATATTTTTGTTCAACCAGTTCACTAGGTGAGTTCTAAGAATTGAGCTTGTATTTAGTATCAAAACCCCTGAATCACGTATGGAAGTCATACTTGTTCAGAGAAAACCCAATTCTTCTCAAAAAATAAACTGCAAAAATATTACTCATTTACACTTAAGCCTGCCTTTAAGAAAAAAAAAAATTCATTATACAACACTCATTTTACCCCATTTTTACTTACCACTGCCTCCATATCTGAAATATTTGGTGGTGCATAGGTTGTTTGTACCATAAACTTGTGTTTACTCTTCTCATTTGGGTCATAGTCAAAAGGCTGCAGCATTACTGTTCAAAAGAAAAAATAAAGCATAAAACTGTGATTCTTCAGTTAATCACTGTAACAAGCACAGCATCCACTTTAGATTGCTTCTCACTGAACAGACACTGAAAGTTAAAACGCAAAGGCAGTGTTGAAAAAAGAGCAGATACACACTGTAGCAACAGGGTCTGAGAGGAAAGACCTTAAAAGTTTTTCGGTCTGGTGTAGCTGACATGATTATTTCTGTAATTACTATAGCTATGTCTATGTTTAGCCTGTATCTGGGGCTAAACTCTAACAGTCACTCAATGACCCCTCGCCAGCCTGGACAGGGAATCGGGAAAAGGCAAAGAGACCTGCGGGTTGAAGTGAAAACAGATTTAACAAAACAGCACTAACACCAACAAAGGCATACAAAGTTATACTCAGCCAAATGAATATGCAGCAGTCACCATCAACAGGAGAGCAGTACCTCAGAAGCAGGGAAGAGGCCAGAGGAGGAGCATGAAGAAGGAGAACCCCAGCAGAAACCCCACAGGAGCTCCCCCTCCTCGGCCAACCTCCCCCCTTTATAACGCCCATGACATGACATGGGATGGGCTGCACCTGTAGCTCCCTCAGGGCAGCTGCCCTGGCTGACCAAACTGCTAACGGCTGCCTGGCACGGCTGGGCTGGGAGTCTGTCCCAGCCAAACCAGGACACCTGGAAGATGTTTCATGTACAAATATGAACAAACAGATCCTGTAAAACAGACAAATAAAAAAAAAAAAACAACACACAACAAAAAAAACCCCAACAACTAAGCAAACACCACAGGACTTTTCTTTGTAATAAACACGTTTTATGATTAAGTGGATGCAAAGTTAAAGAATCGTAGCACATATTATGATAGTTACTCAGGAACAAAACAAAATGAAAAGAGAACCTACATTAGGTAGACCACCCAGCAGTGGGGCAAGTTCAATTGACTTCTAAAGGTATATTAGCCTAAGCCAGGAGCAAAACTACTAAAATACTTCATTCAAACTACAGTTATTACAGGAGGTAAAGCTGCCTGGTGCTTTAGTAATACACTTTTAAAACATTTTCAAACGGAGCTCTTAAAAAAAAATTTGTGATCAGTTATGTAATAACCACACAACACATTTTACTCAGGTTTTAACATTCTTAACCGTAAGCCCAGTCTAACAGTTAACATTTGTCCAAAAGCACTCCAAAATCCAGGTACGCTCTTTAATTCTATGGCAAGTTTTGGGCCTCCACTGTGTTTTACCAGTGAAGAAAGACGGACAGGATTAAAAATCAAATTCCCTGCAAAGGCAGATTTAAGTGACACATGAAAATAAAATTTGTAACACCTGCTCCTTGCATTTTATCTTACGTATTTTCTCACTGCATTTTCAGCTTTCAAAATACTGTACTGCAGATTTTAAAAAAAAAAAAAAGTCATCCCTCTGGATGAAACCAGATATTTTTGGTACAACATAGTTTATGGTACAAGTACCAGAGATAGAGTATGCAAGTGGTTCAGACTTTCTGAATGACAGCCTTCGTACTGTACTTTCAGCTTCCCCAAGTTGAAAACTGCTGGTCAAGAACTGAAACTCATGTCTTTCAACTTATTGTTTTGAAGTATACACAGGCTCAGCGAAAAAAATGACATCACTGACAGTATTTATAGCCTCCATTATTTCTACAGCACCGCAACACTTGTAAATGAAAGTTTTAATTACAGAAGCACAGTACCTTCATCCATCCAAGGCCATCCAGGAGCAAGCTGTATGTTTTTACATCACACAGGGGCTGTCCAGGTTACCCTGGCATCATTGTTTTGTGTATGGTTTCTTTAGTTCAAAGGGACTGAAATAACATGATGTCTATAATACAGACCAGGAGATGAGAACTTTTATAGGATATAGTTGCATATCCAGGGGCATAACATAAGGGCTTGCAGAAATCCCTGAATACGCAGGGTTTTTGCTATGGTAGTGTTGGGGCACTACTGAAGCAGAGGGATGGATACACAACCAGTAGAGTCTACCTCCAATCATGCTGTCAGCTTGTTTCAGGGTCTGCTCCAGACAATCTTGTTAGCCCCCTTGTCCCTTTCAGAGACAATTAGTTGCCTTACTCCAGATGGGACCACATGAGTTGTATTTAAATATGTGTATGTGGGTATGCTTGCAATTTGGTCTACCAGAGGATGAGGACTCCGAGTGAATGGTAGAGATAAATTAGAGTGTACAAACACCTGTCTTCCACAGAATGGAAATTCCAGTTCAGCATAACTTTCTACAAAATTAAAAGAAAAGCTGAAGTAGTTTCAGACAAAGTTTTTTAAAAAAAACAACCAAGAATTACATTTACAGAGTCCTATCAACAGGTATCTGTGCACTTACCTATTTTACAGCAATGGAAAAGCTATAGCACAAATATTGATTTAGCTAGAAAAACATATTGTATGCTCTTAACAACCTTCCCATATATTCTAAACCAATTCAGTCTGTAGCCTTCAATCCTGCTATAGTTTTCAACAATTCAATTATATTTTACACAATTCTGAATCTTCATGGAATGTACAGTTCAACATGCTTCTATTCACACAAAGATTAAATTCCTCATGGTAGGACTGAACTGCATTAGTTTATAAAATGCTACATACAGTATCAAAATTATTAATTTGGTCTTTCCAAACTCCCTAGTACCTATGGAGAAAGTTACTTCTGAGTTTAATTACACTGCCACCTAACTTTAGGCCTTAAATACTAGTCACAAATTGCAAGTGTTTGCTACAGGACGGTTATCTCATTATTTTTTTTTTTCTTAAATGTTACATACAGAATAATCAAAGAATAAGTAAATAATGTGAATCTGATATATCTCACAAATAAAGTACATAAAAGAACTGCAGGATTTGCCATGATTTCAAACAATCCTATTTGGAAAGGTTTAAAAGTCAGGTTTCCTTAATCATTGGTCTCACTCGCTGTGGTCCAAAACATAACTGATCAAACTAAATGCTTCTTCCAGGTATGGATGCTATGGCAATTTATCTCTAAGAATTGTTCCAACAAGATACTACTGAAGAGCATGGAGTACTTCAGTTTCCTGAAGCCAAGGGAACAGATGCACTAACTTGAAAGATAGCAAAGCCAGCTTTCCATCATCAGAGAACTTCTTCACATGCTGGCAGAATCCTTGGATAACTAGTCAAATAACTACGTTCTTTGACCACTCAGTAACAGCTTAAAATCAGATTGAACTGAAAAGTAGCAGAAAAAGACAATCCACAAATTCAAAGAGCTATTCAAGCTCTTCACAGTTTTAAGTAATCATGGAAAACCTCAGAAATATATGACGCCACCGTTTTCAACATGTTCCTGGAATTCCCGAGATGTCCAGAGACCACTTTTAGGGGAATTGCAACAAACAGTTATCAAAGCAAGCCTCTTGTTAATAGGCCTAGGTTTTCTACACAGGAGGGCTTTATCTCCATAAACTGTATCTTAAAGGGGTCTGAAAACTACAAGGAAACAGTAATAAGTAACAGTAACAAGTCATGAAGGAGGAAGAAATATATTCTGAAAAGAAAAATCAACAACAAGCAATTGTTCTTAACAAGTTAACAAGAAGCAATACATGAGAAAATAAATAGTTAATGTAGGGCATCAAGGTCAAGAAAAACAGGCGTTACCAAATTCATCTTTTTGGAAAAAAAAATGTATAACACGGCTGAAGAAGGTTACCTAGTGATTCACAACTGACTGATACACAAAATTCCCATGGAATTCCTTAAAATGACTGTTAAATCACATCTTCCAAAATTTATTTAAAAAATGGCTTGACTCTGAATCCACATGATGCATCACACAGGCTGAAGACTTCCAACTAGCTCAACATTTAGTTTTGAACACAGAGTTTCAGCCCATGGTATCCTATAGTGCTTTCTCTCTGCACAACAATGTGAGAGAAATCTATTTTTAATTATATGAAAGATGAGTCAACACTGAAAACATTTAGTTGAGAGATTGATGAGATAAAGTGGGTCACTAGAAAAATTATCTGTGCACTTAGCTTACCAAGTGACCCAAAATAAATTATGTGCTTAAAAACAAAAAGATGAAGCTGACATTTTGGGGAAGAGAACTTAACTCCGAAAAACATTATGGAGTCACTATAACTAAACAACTGCACATGAAAGCACCTTGGGGTCACTGTAGCTGTATAACTACATGAGAATCCCACGATACAGAAAAAGGGATATCAAAAATTCCCCACTATGCAAACTGAAGAGTCAAGCAGTATGATACTGTTTCCCTTTACTGGTGAACCTGAAGCTGTTTACAGCTCCAGTACTGCCTCATTTAAAAAACCTGAAATATTCAAAGCATTAAAAGGATGATTTATAACTACAAAAACACACTTTACAACAGGAAAATGGAATATTTCAATCTATTCAATTCCCTGAAGAGAACATACAGCAATATCTTGATCATGACGTATGGCTATCCATGGGAAAGATCCCTGACATCAGATGAAACACACAATTAAGACAAAATGACTGTAAGTCGAAGTTGAAGACGGTAAGTAAAGTAGGCTTTTGACTACTTGAATCTTGATTCTTTAATCTGAGAATACAGAACCTAATTCTCAGTAAAATGACCTTTCACTCACAAGATGCTGGGCCGTCCACGGTAAGCAATACTGAAGTTTTAAAGGGTCGCATTCCACAGATTGTATTAGAAAACCGGAGTCTCTCCTACAATGGAAGTTACTCTAAGGTTTTTAATCAATCATAAATATAAAGTTTTCCCGAGTCATTCCTTGCCACATTTGAATGTATCACCTGAAGCTAGTTCTCCAGCTTCTTTTGACCACCCCAAAGGATACGAATCTGAAAAGCTCTGAGGACTGCTCCATGTTTCCCTTTTGCTTCTCTACAGCTCTTCAAGGGTTCTACAAAAATCAGCCTTCTAGACTCAGGAGATCTCTACAACCTGTAAGACTACAGCCTATAAAAAGAGCATTCCCTTCTCTTGAAGTTGGGAAATATGGTAGGTCCAGAGAAATAAGAGTTTCTCACCTCTTACAGTCACTGGTTTGAGAATCCCCTTTATTCTGGAGATTCCTACCTCAAAATCATCAGAACTACCTACAAAAATCATTTACCAAATCAGAAGGCTGATACCTAGTCCTTTCCCATTCTCTTGAGAATGTCTCCTCCCACGATTACTATCACTTGGTCCTTCTGACATTGTACAGCCCAGTACTGGATTAGACCGCTGTATGTCCAGCTATCAAAATTCTGCAGATTGTCAGAATGAAGTAGGCAACTCAAACCTACATGGGAGTTTCATGGGAAAAAAAGAAAATACTGTCTGTCTTCAGGGCTCACACTCTGCTGAGAAGTAAGGATTTTTATTTTTTTTAATCCCTTCACTCAAAAAAAAAAAAATCAACCCACCCAGAACAGAGTATCACTATAGTGAAACGAACTAGATTCTTCAAACTTAAGGGCTACAAACTGTTCCACTTACCTAAAATAACAGAAAATATAATTTTTAAAAGCAATTTAATGATTGCCACTTAACATATACTACTGTAATAAATGGAAAAATTATGAACCAATAGAGTTCAGGGACCAGTATTATGGTCAAAACAACTAGTCTACAATTGTGAATGAATGGGGGGGGGGGGGGGGGGTTAATGCAATGAACTGTAAAATGTTAAACTTTAAACACATCAGAGCGGCCAAGCAATGCCCTACTTCAAGATATAAGTATGAACACAGTAGTCTGAAGCAAAGGTACTGTTAATGTCACTGCCCATTTCCAACTTTCTTTTCGTCCTTTCAGAGAGCTGCAGATAATGTGACAAATGCAAGTATTTCTGTATGAAGGATTTTTTCATGTAACACTGCAGCTTGACATCAAGTTGACATTGCACTAATGAAGGGGAACAGTTTTATTTTAAAAATATCTTTCTAAAAGCTGACATACTTCAAACAGCCTCTACAATCAAGCATTAGAAAACTTAATGAAAGGCCTAAAACCAACCTACAACTGCATATGTTTGCTCTTACCTGAAACAATTACAGAAGATCCTGGGTCAATAATTCCACTGTTCGGCCTCACACAGTACCGACGAGGCGCTGTGGTCTTCACTTTGAAGCATACTTTTCTATCTGATGGATTTCGTAGTTTAAGATTTGTAGTTACTACATCTGTAAAGGGACCTGAAAAAAGGGTTGTTTTTTTTAAATATGCATGTATCTCTGGAAAAGAAATCTGTTTATACAGTACAAATTACTCTTAAAATATAACTTGATGGCCACAAACTTCTAAAAGCAGGTTAAATCATATATCTCTTAAGCACATATACAGTTACATCCAAAGCACACTTTATCACCATAGTTATTATAATATACAGTACCGCAATGAACAAGTAACTCTTAAATAGTATGATAGACTCCAGCTGCTGGCACAAAAAGTTCATATATACATATGCTAACTTCACTAAATCATTCTTAGCATTTTAAATACCTAGAAGGTAATGGTCATATGCAGAAGTAAATTTTGCTGGATTTTTCTTTAGGATAGAAGCAACCCATACTTTGGAACTCTTTCAAATGTTTAAAGAAAGAAAACACTGTGATACTGAAACACACTAAGTGCTCCTGAGATTCCAACTTCTGTTGCTCTTCTGCGCTCCTATAGACTTGACAGAAACAGGCATCAACCTCATCTTTTAAACTCAAAACAGACAAGAGATGGTACTCTGCTTATGCATATACTCCAAGTGACCGACAGAAAAGTTGTACCTGCCAGATCTATGTATTCAATGCAGTGTATTGTCTAAACTGTGTTTGTAACCATCAGCATAAAAACTGCCTCTAAGACTGGATCTTACAAGAGGCATAATTTCAATCTCAAGCTGCAAAAGCACATCTTCCAACAGATATCACCTCCATGTGGTGCCATACAGTAACAGCACAAAAATCAAGTAAGGTTCAGAGTGTTCCGAGCTGTGTTAAGCTCCCTTATGCTTGCCATCAGAAAGCAAGATGCACAGGCACTAAAACAATGGAACTTAGAAAATGGAATTTCATATGAACATGGAATTTATTCAGTATTTTGTGTGTACATTAACTTCTAAGAACCTTCTTTATCATTCTTTAAAAATTACACATTAAATTACTCCAAAATAATTTTCATTAGTATTGAAAACATGACAACTACTTTCCACTAAAAAAAAAACACAAGCAGATTAAATTGGATGAATAATAGACATGATGTGAACAAGTGGTAAGGTAGAATAAAACCACTAATTGCACGAGACAGAGGAAGTCAATTCTTTTCTGAACACCTTATTCCACAGAGATGTCTGGACTCTGAAAGAAATGGTACTGGCCACTAAACGTTACTACACTAGAGGGCTCACTATCTGACCGATGTCTTTTGTTTCTGTAACTCTCACTCCAAATCCTTTATTTTGAGAGAGTGCTAAACAGAGTCTTGACACAAAACACCAAGATACAAATCAATAAAGGACTAAACCAGGAATTACTGAGAACAGGAATACTGAGATGTAGATGAAGATACATTTGAGCTAGGTTTACAGCCAGCGAGACTCTTTTGGGAAAACAGGAACTGGTATTACTTGTCTAAAACTTCATTTCTAATCCAGCTTTACACAGTGGACAAAATAGTCACCATCTCAATCCAAGGACATTTGACAGAGCCAGCAAGAGAAAGATTTACAAAACTACTTCAAAATTTCCTGCCACTTGCTTCTTGATGGCTCTTGTAGGATCCAGTTGCATTACTTACAGAGTGTGATCCAAAAATAACTTGCATCACCCATACCACACGCTGATCTAAAATCAGGCAGCTGAATACAAATCTAAGACTGGTGATACACTCAGAAAAGAGCAAACATTTATTTTTTGAGCTACACAAACATTTTTGAGGAAGTTATTCCAGGAGTTTTACTAATAGCCACCTAGGCATTGCCTTTGCAGTGCCCAGCGACACACAGCACCTTGAATTTGGCTTTCAAAGGTGTGGGTTGCTTTTTTTTAATTGCAACTCTAGACAACCTGAGGAGCTCTGCTTCTCAATTTTCTCTACTATTACTACGGAAATTCTGCTCAAAGGAAAAAAAGGCTCAGTTCAGAGGCTCATTTTGAAAGGCACAGTCATCAAGGAAAGGGAGCTACACTATTCAAAAATAGCTTATTTCAAGACCAAGAAGCAGAGAATTTATAAACTGATGGCAAACTGGTTTTTAAACTGAAAAAACCCATGTTCTGTTGCTTTTGAGACATGAAAGATCCCCTCACGCCTGCCTTCTCAAAGTGCATAGTAACGAGACAGGATTCAGAGAATCGCAGAACAGCAGGGGTTGGAAGGGACCTCTGGACATCACCTAGTCCAACCCCCCTGCTAAAGCAGGTTCACCTAGAGCAGGTCACACAGGATCGTATCCAGGCGGGTTTGAGTATCTCCAGGGAAGGAGACTCCACCACCTCCCTGGGCAGCCTGTTCCAGTGCTCTGGCACCCTCAGAGTAAAGTTTTTCCTCATGCTCAGGTAGAACTTCCTGTGCTCCAGTTTGTGTCCGTTGGCCCTTGTCCTGTCACTGGGCACCACTGAAAAGAGCCTGGCTCCATCCTCTTGACACTCACCCTTTAGATAGTTGTAAGTGTTGTTAAGGTCCCCTCTCAGTCTTCTCTTCTCCAGGTTAAACAGCCCCAGGTCTCTCAGCCTTTCCTCATAAGAGAGATGCTCCAGCCCCCTCATCACCTTCATAGCCCTCCACTGGACTCTCTCCAGTAGTTCCCTGTCCCTCTTGAACTGGGAGCCCAGAACTGGACACAGTACTCCAGACGCGGCTCCACCAGGGCAGAGTAGAGGGGGAGAATAATCTCCCTTGACCTGCTGGCCACACTCTTCTTAACGCATCCCAGCATACCACTGGCCTTCTTGGCCACAAGGGCACATTGCTGGCTCATGGTCCACTTGCTGTCCACCAGGACTCCTAGGTCCTTCTCTGCAGAGCTGCTCTCCAGCAGGTCGACTCCCAGCCTGTACTGGTGCACAGGGTTATTCCTCCCCAAGTGCAGGACCCTACATTTAGCCTTATTGAACCTCATACGGTTCCTCCCCACCCAGCACTCTAGCCTGCCCAGGTCTCGCTGAATGGCAGAGAAGCGCAGCCTTCTGGCCTGTCAGCCACTCCTCCTGGTTTTGTATCATCAGCAAACTTGCTGAGGGTGAGCTCTGTCCCTTCACCCAGGTCACTGATTGAGATCGTACCCAGTATTGACCCTAGGGAACACTGCTAGCCATAGGCCTCCAGCTGGACTTTGCACCGATTATCATAACCCTCTGAGCTCCCTCCTTCAGCCAGTTCTCAACCCACCTCACTGACCACTCATGTAACCCACACTTCCTAAGCTCACCTATGAGGATGTGCAGGAGACCGTGTCAAAAGCCTTGCTGAAGTCGAGGTAGACAACATCCACTTCAAAATACCTTTCCAATTATTTTGATATTTACTGTCAGTTCTAATACCATAGATAATTAAAAAAGTCTGGTTTTGTTCCCCAGGTACAAGAATGCAGTGACCTCCTTTGCATTTCCTGGATAATTCCCAAAAAAGAGCCTTTAGCTCAGGGGCATTTTTTAGTATCAGACATTTCTTTCAGAGTGGGCTGAAATCTTTTTCAAGGTCTAGAGTTCCCTTCTGACAGCTTTACCTTTCACCTGTTTTCTAAAAGCTTTCAAAAAACAAAAAAAAGCTGTATAAAGCCTCTCAATAACTGCATCCACCAGATTTAATAAATAGCTGTTAATAAACTGGTGCACAAAAGGAAAAGACAACTAAATTTCACTGTTCCTGCAGAACCAGCTATTTTGGTAGTTTAGTGGCATACCGACAGACAGCACTGATCTGAGCATGGACAGGCAGGAGCCATCACAAGGATAGTAAATCAGAAAAAAATATCTATTACCATTCAGAGGAGCCAACAATCTAAATTAGCACGACATATCCTTCAAAAAAGAAACCATGCAATAGCAGAAGAGGATTCTGAAGCTCCCATTCACACAAACATAAATACTATGACCCTTGGGGGAGCAGGGAAATAAAGTACAAGCTGGCACTAACAGCTCGAGTGCAAAAGCCTAAATCATGACAGTTCCTTGAGAAAAACAAGGGAAGTGGGGTGGAGAGGGAGAACCAGGAAGGAGAAAAGATTTTAGACCATACTACACAGACTGCATCCAAACAATGCAAAAATGGACACAAGCATCTGTATACTGCAAGACATTACCACACAGCACCCTTATCTCTAAATAGGAGAGACACAGATTTGACAGATGGACCACTCAGTGGGTAAGGAATCGGCTGGACGGTCACACTTGAAGAGTCACAGTCAACATTTCAGTATCCAAGTGGAGATCAGTGACGAGTGGTGTTCCTCAGGGGTCGGTACTGGGACCAGCACTATTTAACATCATTGTCAATGACATGGACAGTGGGATTGAAAGCACCCTCAACAAGTTTGCAGGTGACACTAAGCTGTGTGGTATGGTCGACACGCTGGAGGGCAGGGAGGTCATCCAGAGGGACCTGGACAGGC